AAAAGCGATGTTGACTTCGGCTTCGACTTCGGTGCTGAAGTTGAAATAGAAATTCGACTTTAAGTTAAATTTGGTAACTATTTCAAAATTTCATTTAACTTTCAGTTAATTTTGAAAGCTATTAAGTTTCTTTTAATTTATAAAGAAGAATTATAAAATATATATGTTTTATGTATATCAACAGGTTTCTATTGGTTACAACCAGGGTTGGCATTAAAAAACCCGTCCAAAAAAACCCACCCAATAAAACCCAAAAAAACCCGCCTAAAAAAGCCCAATAAAACCCTGGAAAATCTGGGTTTTATTGGGTTTTTTTAAAGATATTTATTAAGTTTATGAACTATTATAATCAACTTTAACATTATAACTATAATATTATTAACTATTATTATTAACTAAATTATTATTAACTTATATTATTATTTATTATAACCAACAATAACAGCTATCAGAGCAGGTTTACTATTATTTGAATCATTTAGAAATACATTATTACAATTTTTATTTAAATATTTTTAGAGATTGAGATTTTTATTACTTTATGTTATTCACCTCCCAAGTTGAATTTAAATGAGTAGCAGTGACCAGAGAAGCCAACACAACAGTCGAGGAGGCTACCTTGTTGTGGTTACAATCCTCTCTCAACTCTTACGCAGTAGTGGTGTTGTGGTAGAGTGCTCGCTTCATAAGTGAGAGGTTCCGAGTTCGATCCCCACTATGTCCCCGCAGCGGCCTTGTTCGCCAAGGTTCGTGTTTCGGAGTTATAGAGTTGAGAGAGGGTTATAACCACAAATAAATAGCCTCCTCGCCTGTAGTGGCCATAAACCTTGAGGAGGTGAATTGATTAAAAAAAAAAAAAAAAAAACTTTTTAACTCCTAAACACGAATCTTTATAAACAAGGCCGCTGCGCAGAGGAACAAGTTTGTTCATTTGAATTTCAAGTTCAAAGTTTAATTGAAACTTCAGTTACTCCCTCCCATTCTCTAGCCTTCTTTTTCCTATTTTCTCATTGACATTTTTAATTATATAGAATAATTTTAAATTTAAAATAAATCAATATATATAGATTAAGCGTGAAATTTTTTTTCCTATTACAGTTTTAAATTATATTTGAAAATCTTTTTCAAAATAATTTGAAAAATTCTTGTTATACAACAATATATAAAATATATTTAATTTAAACAATATATAAAATTATTAAACAATATATAAAATATATTTTAAATAAAGTTAAAGTAGAAAATGAAACTAATTTTCAATATCATTAAACAAAAACACAAAAAAATTTTTTACAGGGACAAAATAAAAATTAAACCCAAAAAAACCCAAATTTACCCAATAAAACCCACTGGGCCAGGTTTTTTTAAAAAAAAAACGGGTTTTTGCCAACCCTGGTTACAACCCTCTTTCAGAATTGAGAGAGTGTTGTAACCAATGTAAGAAGTAGTTTCCTTGTCTGAAGTGGCCCACTCAACTTTGGGAACATGAATTGGGTAAAAAATAAAAAAATAAAAAATCGTTCATGCTTATTCAAAAACATTAAACAGTAAAGATTGCATAACTTAAAGTTTCATCATTACTGAATTTTTAGATTTTTTATTTTGACACAAATTGCTTTTTGTAAGTGTATTTTTTTAATAAATTAAAATTTACTTAGCTTCACTTGCTTTATGTTAACTTTTAAATTATGGTTAATTACAAGTTAAAAAATAATATCTTTAGTTTATCAAAAATGATTATACAGAAACCAATGTGCAGTAGTTAATCCGCTTGCTTTAGAAGCAATAGACCTAGGGTTCAAAGAAAGCTCTAGGCATATTTTGCAACATCTGTAAGAAAAAAGGTTTAAACTTTCGAGTTAAATACTTTTCTGATGTACTTACTGGAAAGCCGAATTTAGATTTGAAAAACACATTTAATTAAAAAAGAAATTTTTGAATATTTTTTTAAAAGTTTTTAAAAAAAAATTTTTTTTTTTTTTGCTTTTAATGTTCTGAGAAGAATCAATCCGCAATACTGTTAGATCTTCTTGGAGGCTATTTATTTGTGGTTATAACCCTCTCTCAACTCTATAACTCCGAAACACAAACCTTGAAAATTTTTTATAAAACTTAAAAAAATCTTTAAAAATTTCTTTTTTAATTAAATGTGTTTTTCAAATCTAAATTCCGCTTTCAGGTAAATTCGGTTTAGAAGTCCCAATTGGTCTTTCAGTTAAATTCGTGCTACATATACGGCTTAAATTCATCTTTCAGTTAAATTCGGTATACGCATATAATCTAAATTCCTCTTTCATATAAATTCAAGACTTAAAAAGTTGACTTTGCCAGTCCCTAATTCTTGATACTAAAACAAGATGGAATTTTCTACTGGTTTACAAACAACTGAGTTTTCAAAATGTCATTGAAAAATCTCTATTGCATAATCGTATACATTTCTGGTATTGTTCAGCCTCTTAATGATGTAGAGTTGTGGCATTGGGAAAAAGACTGATCTGACAAAATTATTTTGTTTTAACTACAAAATTTTATTGATCTAAATTTAACTAACAGTAAATATTTTATGTGGCTATATGGCTAACCTTTACAAACAAATGTCTTTGAGCATATTAAAAATATTTACTGGGCTGTCCGGATCTTTGCTTTAAGTTTATAATTAATGTTCAATATTTTATAACTCCTAAATGTAAAATTGTGAACTTCTATAAAAACAAGTATGGACTATATCTTTATATATTTATGTATATTATCAATTGGACTTTAAAAATATTTTATTTTGTATTTTGGAAATATTGGAAAAGATTTTAAAAAATTGTTGTACTTCAAAACTGCAGCAAGTTACTCAATGCAACTAAGGCATAGAACAAACTTGTAAAAAAAAAAAGCCTATAATTTTAAACAAATCCGATTGGTTGTGACGAACCTAACAACTTTATTTAATGGTGTATTTATGCAAACAAAAAATTCGTAAATAATGGAAAAATATTATAAACCACCGAAGCGTCTGTTAAATAATTTTTGCAGGATATATACTAATATAATTACAAATATATCTTAAAGTGTTTGTTTAATATAATTTATGAACCTAATTACAATTTTATACATTTGTATTGGTATATTTTAAAAAAATATGCTACTTTTAAAAGCAGTTTGGAATGAATTATGTATTATATACTTCATTTTGCACTGTGCTAACAACAAAAAGCGTTTATCTAAATACATTACTGAAGCCATAATAGCTATTTGTATCGACTTAGTGTTCAAAGATATAATTGTTTTTATAACAAAAAGTTAAAAGTAACATATGTTACTATTTAACTATTGTTATAAAAATTAAAGAAACCAAATATCAATTAAAGTTTACTACTGATATAAAAACGAAATGAGTTTAAAAATGAAAGTAAGTTTACCGCCTGTTTTTTAATTGCTTACGCATTCTGAATAAATTATTTTTTTCAAGATGGCCAAATAAGTCCTGAGTATTTCAAAAAATGATACTAAATACCAAAAACAGTTTTTTGAATGGGGCTTTTTTTGAATAATCATAACTATAAGTTATGATAATGCAAAAGTTATGCAAAAACAACTTTTGTAGAAAAAATAACACCACCACAATTAATCTAAATCTAACATGATATTTTTGTTAAACATACTCATTTAGGTGTGGTATTAAAAATAATAACTTCAATTTTCATTTCAAAAAATGGTTTTTCATGGATAATTTTTCTAAATAATATTATAAATGTCAAGTTACAATCATTGAAAACAAACAATACATGCTTTTATGAAAAAATCAAATCCATAGACTTATCTATAGCCAAGCCCCAAGGTACTTTATGTTGAAAATTACATCTTTTCTAAATAAAACTATGCTTGACGATTTGTTATAGTCGCATTACTTTTACCAGATTATAATAGTAATTAAAATAATCTTTCCATACATACCAAACAAATCTTTTTGATAAAAAAAACATAAATATATTGTAACTGAAAAAACTTATATTTTTGTTCGAAAAAACATGCCTTAGTTGCATTGAGTAACCACTTTGGTCACTAAAGCTGCCAATTTTTAACACTATTTAATAAACAAAAGACTAAATAATGTTATAAAACAGCAAATAAATGCTATAAATCAAAATTATGGAGATATTGTCGCAATACAATTTTTAAATAAAAACAAAACTTAATAAAAGTAAAAATATTTATAGAACTTTAAAAACTTTTTATTTTGTACTTAAAAAAAGATTTTTAAAAATGTGCCAGTGTAAGGATTTGAACCATGGCAATTCACTTTAGAAATGTTGTGAGCTAAGCACTACAGTCACTAAGGCATGTTGTTCGACAAATATTTTAACACTATTTAATAAAAAAGACATAAAACAACAAATAAATGCTATTAATCAAAATTAAGATGTTGTTGCAATGCAATTTTCAAAAAAAGTTAAAGTAAAACTGTAAAACCTGATAAATGTTCTAACATTACTTAGTTTGAAGTTTATATAAGTTAGACATTTGCATACACTTTAGTTAACATTTTCTTATAAAAAAAAAGTACTGCCACTTTTTCTTGCCATTGACTCAGGTGTAATAACTGCAATGAGTTCAATGTCAAACGCTCACAAATGAATAATAGCAGAAGCAATAAGTTCAGTATTAAAATATATTAAGATTAGTTAAGTTAATTAGGCAAATTTTATGGTTATTTTGAATTACTTGATTAGAAAATTTACTGTGATTAATTTTATACATTTTTATTAATCTTTACTCTAACATTTCATCTCATCTTTTAAATAAAAACCTGCTTTAGCAAGCAAATTAAGCTAAAATTTCTTTGAACAAAGACCTTGAATATCATATTTCAGCATTAGTATTTAAAAAATATTGAAAAAAGTTTACTTGCAAGTTGATGTCTCCTTGGTGAATGTTTTATGTATATTCACTATTCATACTCAACAAAAAATATTATAATAATATATTAAATTCACTCAAAGTAATACTACCTGGTCATATTCACTAGGACCAGGATACAACGGCCAACCAAGAAACAACTCTGCAGCAACACAACCTAATGACCACATATCGATTGCTTCATCAAATGGAAGTCCCAAAATTATCTCAGGTGCTCTAAAATTGTAATTCAATTTAAAATAAAATATCTCAATCAAAATGCAATTACAGTAAACTTCCAATAACTCTAACCTCTAAGGGACGGAGAAAATAAATATTTAAAATATTTATTTTCTCTGTCAGACTTGCAAGTCTGATCGTTATATTAGTCTATTCATTATATTAAATATCATGTAAATTTTTAAATAATCAGGTGATTTTTATAAGAAAATATTTTCAACAAGAATTTGAAAATACTTTGAGTTACTGTAAGTTTGAGTTCAAGTTATAGGGATCTAACTAAAAAAAGATTAAAAATATTTTGATGCAATTGAGTGGCCAAAAGAAGCAACTCATTTGCATTAAATTACTTTTATTAAATTACTAATTTATTAAAAAATAACAAAATGACTTCCTATATAAATTAGTAAACTAATAATTACTAATAATAAATTTAACGGTGTTAATGCAAAAAATGTTAACTTAAATACCAATGTCATGTAACTTAAATTAGTTTCTGCTGCATTGCATAACAAAAAGTACTGGTTTCTGTAATCCTTAAAATAACTAGAATAAAATTCTTATAAAAATAAACTTAAAAGCTAAAATTTTTTATTAAAATCAATCAAGATGATCAAAGGAAATTGTTTAAAAGATTTTAAGGCAGTAAAAAATTAAATGCAGTATAAAAATATGGCTTAATTTGCATCCTAAATATCTTATTCAGAAGATAAATATCTTATTCAGAAGTATTAGAACTTTTGTTTAGAGTGAAATTGAGAAATTATCTGAAAGAGTATTTTCTTGAGATAGTATAAATAAATAAAAATAAAAATAGAATAAATAATATACTGTAGTATTATAAAAACTAGATTAATTTAAAAAATTACAGTTACTTTCAAAAAAACAATTTTCAAGCCTTTCCAGGAAAGGTGTCCGGTTTTTTGTCTTGTATAACCACGCGTGAGTATTTTATTTTTGACAACTTGGTCACGGCCGTTTGCAAATTTTTTAATATGCGTTGTTGACAAAAGTTTTAAAAACAAAATAACAAAAAAGGAATATAGAATAAACTTAAATAGAAAATAATAAAAACAATAATTTAAATAATTAGTGTACTGTTTTTATTTTTGTTTCTTCGGTAAGTCAAAGCAAAAAAAAAAAGTTTAAAACATTAAAAAGAATGATTTTCCTATATTTTGTTTTTTTTGAAGGGAAAACGAAAATATAAATTGACATCTGTTTGTAAAATATATTTGTATAATTTTAATGTAACAAGTATATATCAAAGGTGAATCAAGCGATCGCAATTTGCAAACCCTGGAAAAATATCTGATCTTCAAAATTTTAGTTTATGCAAACTGTGTACTTTGTTTTCAAGGAACAAATTATTATAATTTTGTTAGCGAGAAAAATATAAAAACAAAACAAACAATAAACTTACGACTACAAAAGTAACAATACTCTTATCACTAACTGCATTATAGAAGTAATAAAACTATAATAGTGTTATTACTTTTATAAAGCATTTATTACTATTAAAGTTAATTCTTTCTTCAAACAGTATTATTATTTCAAAACAAAAATTAAAGATGAAAAGCATCTAGAAAAAATAAAGTGGATATTCAAATATTAAAAGCTTGAGGAATTTTCACAAATCACTTAAACAACTTTGAAAAATTTTATTTAATAATTTAATAAAAAGTTAAGCATTATGAAAAGCGTTAACAATAATCCGTATAATATCGCGCTTTATTTTAAATCAACCAATAAAAATTATTATTGGTTGATTTGAAAATTAACGCGCGTTTTTACATATCATTAGTAACATTTTTTATAATGCTAAACTTTTTATTACGCTTTGTATATTTTTATATAGTAACATTTTTATATAGTAACATTTTTTATACAGTAATATTTTTATATAGTAACATTTTTTATAATGCTAAACTTTTTATTACGCTTTGTATATTTTTATAATGCTAAACTTTTTATTACGCTATTTTTTTTTATAATGCTAAACTTTTTATTACGCTTATTACATTACGCTTTGATAAAGTTATGTTTACGTTTTTATAAGTTACTTAAGTTTTAAATATTGTTTGGATATCCACTAAATTTTTCTAGATGCTTTTCTACTTCAATTAAAATTTGGGAGAACTTATCTTATTTGAACAAACAATGAATTATAAAAGTTATAAGTGCGTTGTAAAAGTAACAACACTATTATAGTGTTATTACTTTTAGAATGCAGTTGGTCATTAGAGTATTATTATAACTTTTTTGCAACAAAATATGATTATGATTCGCCCCTTAAAAACAAAGAACATGTTAAACACATGTAAATACAATCTAAAACATGAACTAAAATTTTGAAGACCAGATATTTTTCCAGATTTTGCATTTCGCTTAATTTAACTCTTGTTGTTATAAAAATATATTTAACAAATACATTGCAATTTATATTTTTGCTTTCCTTTTTAAATAAAGTTAAATAAAGGAAAATCATTCTTTTTATTGTAGACTTGAAACTTTTTATTTTACTTTGCATTATCTAATTTTGTTGCTGAATATAACAACCACTCATAATAAAAACACTACATAAATTATTTAAATTATTAATTTATTTTCATTTTTTTCTATTCAAATTAATTTTTATTTCCTATTTTATTAGTTTTGCTTTTTTTGTTTTTTAAACTTTTTCCTCCATGATTAATATTATAAAACTTGCAAACAGCCGTAATCAAGTTGTCTAAAATAAAAAACTGTAACATACAAAACAAAAAATTGCACACCTCTCCTGGGAAGGCTTGATTTAATTAATTGTATTTAATAAAATTTGCACATTTAAACCAATTTAAAAAATCTATTTTAATTTAACTATTATTTTATTTATCATTTAATCGTTAATTTAAATTAAAAAGTAACTTAAAATGATCAAACATAGGTATATCAGTGACGTATCCAGAAATTTTTTGGGCATACCGGTCTAAAAATCCTGTCTACCTAAAAAGCCCTTTTTTTTTTTTTTTTTTTTTACTCAAATTTAAATAGAGTTTATTCGTATAAAATATATCACTCACCCTAGTTTTTCAAATGTTGGTATTTCTGTGATCACAACAAATGCTAATATAAAACTGTTTTAAATTGAGTTTGGGCTGAAATTTGGGGGCCCATACCGGTATACCGGTATTAAAATCGGCCTCAATACGTCGCTGGGTGTATATATATATATATATATATATATATATATATATATATATATATATATATATATATATATATATATATATATATATATATATATATATATATATATATATATATATATATATATATATATATATATATGCGAGCAAGACTTCTCAGGATAAGCATGAGGCGCACGCCTTATATGATTAATCCTGCAATTAAAATAATGTGCTTTGACATAATCTAACCTTAACTTTGTCAGCTTTAAAACCACAAACAAGCAAAGAGACATTTTTTACAACAAACACGTTTACTTAGCCATAAAGCATAGATATATATATATATATATATATTATATATATATATATATATATACATATATATATATATATACATACATAATATATATATATATATATATATATATATATATATATATATATATATATATATATATATATATATATATATATATATATATAAGAATTCTTTCGAATAGATTACTTCTGTTTTTGTTTTTTTTTTCAATTTTCAAAAGGGAGGATTCAAAGTAATTATTACTTGAGTTTACTTATTTTTCTAGTTTTTTAGGAGAAGCTTATTTTCGTGCCTGCATATAGAAATTAAACATTCTTGGTTTGCATGTGTAATAATTTCAAATTTTTCTTCTTGGTATAGTATGCATTTTAAGGAAATATTGTTATATGCAGGTGCTGTTTTAAGAATGGATCAATTCATTATAAAATCAACAATATTTTTATCTCTTAATTCCCTTTTATATTTGACAGCATGGTTTCTTTTGAATACTTTTATTTTTAAAGGATTGCTTATGATTGGCAAAACGTTTTTTCAACAATTTTATTACCACATACCACATTTTTGTATAAAAAACTACCACTACTTTGACAATTGTTTTTTTGTTTACAATTACAATTTTCTGTTGTTTTTTCATTTAGGATTTGTTTTTTGTCTAACAAACATAGATCATCCTAGTCATATTTTAAAAATCCGGAAAATTATTTAAATAAAATATCCAGAAAAATGCGGAATTTGTCTTCCCTTATTTTCTTTTTAATTTCGCTTTTAGATAAGTTGCTTTTACTTTTTTTTTGACACTTTTCATAATTTTTCTATGATTGATAAGTGAAAAAGCTTTAAAAAACAAATATATTACAAAAATATATACCTCAACTTGCATGTATTGAAAATGTTTTGAATAACCGGAAAAACAAATAGTTGAAAAAAATATACGGAATTCCGGAAATATCAGGAAAAAGATAATCCCTGAACAAAGCATTATTGTGACCTTTTATAATTCTTTCCATATTTTTTGTGCAACTGTAGCTAACTTTAATTGTATTTTAATTAAAGGTTTTATGTAATTTATTAGAGGGCGGGAAATGCTTATAGACTAATTTTAAAATCACTTTATCTATGTTAGTAAAAATATTTTTGCTATATGGGGGGTTGAACCAAATTACATTTCTAGTTCTATTTCTTCTTTTTTCAAAACCACCTTTTTTATGGCCATCTTCAAATATTTGTTTAGAAGAAATGAATACATTTTCATTAGAGGAGTTTTGGTTAAGCCTGTTATAAATTGAAATCGGAATTTGTTTTAGGATTTGGGGTGGATAATTTGATTTAATATTAATATACAAAAACATATCATTTGGTGTATTAGGATTAAAAATATCATTTGGTGTATTAGGATATCATTTGGTGTATTAGGATATCATTTGGTGTATTATTAAAACATATCATTTGGTGTATTAGGATATCATTTGGTGTATTATTAAAACATATCATTTGGTGTATTAGGATAT